CAATTATCTGGTTTTTTATCCACCAATTAATCCATGAAACACCATATCTTAATAATAATTATTAACATACATCAATTTAATTTTAATTGGTTTTCATGAAAATTGAACACTAATCAAAATTTGAACAAATAATAAATTTAAAATATATATCAACCTTTGATTTAGAAACAACCAACAAAGATTGACCTAAACAAATAACTTGACTCAACTTATTATCCAATTTTAGTGCTATGATTTAAAAATAAAACTAATCTTACAGCCAAATCTTATTTTTTGCATATATTCTCCATTTTCATCTAATTTTTAATGATAAATTCCTTTACTCATTTCCAATTATTTTTCATAAAAACCATGGGGATAATTTGCTTATCTATATATAACCAAAACATGACAATTAAACAATCGGCCATTCTATTATAACCTAATTTAATTCATTACTTGATAACAAGTGATAATTCTTTTGGTTATAAATCAATTCATGCCTTTCTTTTTTTATGTTTTCAGACTATTTCCCCATCTCAATATTTATAAGTATCGATTTTTCAAATAGATATAATATAATTCATTAAACCCAATTGTGAATCTAATTTCAGTATATGCATAAATTTATGCAATGTAATTAATATTTTACATATTGTGTTTTGACTTTACACACTAATGAAATTAATTATTAATGTGTTTATCTCATTCAGTCAATCTTCTTACCAGCAATTATATAAAAAATAAAATACATACCTTTAATAAAGATCTTTATGAAAATTAACATTTTTGTCCATGGAATATTAATCTTTTGACTCCTTGAGCCTCCTCTAATATTGATCTCCAAATCATACTAATTTCTTTTCCTTGTATCTTCATTGTGCGAAATATAATTTTTTTATAATTACCTTTAAATTATTAAAAAAAATAAATAAGAGAAGAGAAATAATAAAAAAAATTGATTTTAAGGCGCAAAGAACACTTTTTTAAAAGGCAATTATACTTTTAGGATACAAAGCCTCAAACTTTCCAATCAGAAGTAGTAAAAATTGTTATACTTAAAGATTTATTTATAATAAATAAACAGACATAAACTTTTATTCAGATAATTATGACTTTCTGTATAATAATGACTTTTATGAATAATAATCTATTTATATTCAAATAGTTATGAACATTTATCATATGATAATTGTTTCTGTTCAAACATAATTATTTAAAATATGAATAAAATTAATGCAAAAAATAAATTTATTTATCAATAATTAAATCTTTCTATCCAGTATGGGATGTATCACATTTTAAACTACCAACAATTAATATATATGTTAATTGAAAGTTTAAATCGAGATATTTCTTCTTATATTTATAATATTTATTTATGTAAAAGGTAAAAATTAAGCACCAACATTCCAAACTAGTAGGTGATTGTTGGTAATTTAGAATGTAGTACATCCTATAATGGATAGAAAGATTTAATTATTGATTAATAAAATTAATTTTTATATTAATTTTATTAATATTTTAAATAATTATGTTTGAAAAGAAATAATTATCATATGACAAATGGTAGGAACTATTTGAATATAAATATATTATTATTCATAAAAATCATGATTAAATAGAATGTCATAACCATATGAATAAAAGTTTATGTCATTCATTCGTTATAAATAAATCTTTCAGTATATTTATTTTCACTGCTTCTGATTGTAGAATTTGAGATTTTATTATATGCTAAATGCATAATTACCTTTAAAAAAAATGATTTTTATGCCTCAAAATTAAAATTTTTCTATTATTTCTTTTTTTTTATATATTTTTTCTAATACGAGCTCCTGAAAAATAATATTGGGTTGAAGAACTACGTGGCTACTCTCAAAGTCTTGCCATTGGAGGGTGCTGGAAAACTGCAGGTTGCAAGATCGAGTGGTCGTTTATAGATGATCCGGGTGAAGGGTTGGGATTGGAATAAGATTTCTTTTCTAATGTTGATCATTGTCTTCTCCAATTCATGGCAAAGAAAATTGAGGATTCTGTCATCCAGGCTCAAATCTAGAGGTTGAGATTTGACGTTGAATAGTATTGAACTGTTAATTAGCTGTATCTTTCTCAGTAGAAGTTTGAATCTTGCAATATTTCTGGTGCTTTGTTGAATCAAGCTTGGAAAACTATTTTCATTATTTATGATAGAAAAAAAGATGGATTTAATGCTCTTCGACGAACCCCAAGTCAATTCAATTTAAAAAAAAAAAAAATAACTGTTGAATCCTGACAACTGATCAGGTGCTCTTGTAATAGAGAAACTGCCAATTGTTTCGATACATGATTTATATTTGAATATGTTGTCCTAATATATATGTTATCCTAACGAGTCATCTATGATTGTCATTTGGTCATTATAATGAAACTAGTTTATCTTTTGCTATTCACTTATTAATTTTACTTATTTAAATATATATTGTTAGAAATATTTTTAAAAGATGAAAATAATATAATTAAATAAATTAATTTAATAAAAAAATTCATATTAAATTATGATTCTAAGAAAATGATTCTAGGTTTAAAGATAATTAAATATAAAAGAATGATCATACAAACAATTATTGTCATACTTAAAAGGAGTCAACTACTTAAGCTTTTTTTTTTTTTTTTTAAGTTTATTGTCATTAGTGTGGAATTAACTATTTTGATAAACAAAAACTAAATTTAAGTTTTGTATAGAATAGTAATAAGCTAATATCCTTGAGAAATCGATTGCTATAATTGAAAATGATTGGAATCAAATTAAAATCCTAATGAAATCATTTCTTATTGTTTAATAGTCCTATGGAAAATGGTCTAAGATTAAAGTAATCAAATGCTAATAAAAGCAGAGTCAACTGTCTTACAAGAGGTCATAATTGAAACTTTTTAAGAAATTGAAAGGTGTTGACTTCTACATGGAATAGTCGATTGCTCATGTTAGCAAAATCAATGCATATCATCGAGTCAACGTTCATACAAGCATTTTAATGATGAAAAATTAATGGAATTAGTTATTAAATTATGATTATTAAATTAAAATAATATAAGAATTAAATTTATATAAATTGTAATACAAAAATTAAATTTTAAATTTTCGTAAAATATAATAATCTTTAAAATAATTTGATCAATTTAAAAAGATTGAACATCAGACAAAAAATAACAATAAATTTTAATTTGTAATATAATTAGAAAAATTATTTCATTTTCAAATACTATCTTAAAAATATTTATATTTGCTGCTAATATTATTTTTATCAATTGTATAATCATTTTTATCATCTATCATTTTTGAGAGATCATCATCAATCTCATCAATTTTATTAACATTATTTTTTTTTCTTTTTTTTTTTCGGCCTTAGAGTAATTTCCAATTTATCTAAATCTTCCTTTGCAAGTTTTGGAATATTTCGTGCACAAAATGGTAGAAAGTCTTGAAAAACAATCACTTTTTTTTTTCGGGCCTGAAGGTATAACTTGGGTAATGATAGTAAGTCATATGATTGGTTTTTTTTTTTTTTTTTGATAATTCTTCAAATTTCTTTTCAAATAAATTTTTTTTTTGAAACATTTTGATCCATATGGGTTATTCAATTTGTGTAAAAAGTTAGCATAATTATTTAAATTATAGTCTAAGTAAATCACATATTATTGTGGACAATTTAAAAAAATAATAACCAAATGTCATAAACTTGTAGAAAATCGATTTTGCAATTGTTTAATTTAGGCTTTTAGTGTCGATGTTTTTCACAATATTTTATTTGACTGATTTTTTTTTGAAACTATATTAATTTTGTAAATTATACTAATATATGTTATTGTTAACTGATATTAGTTTAGTAAATGAAAAAGTATGCTAAATTTTGTGATATCCAAAATAATTAGAGAAACGTAAATGTTAGCTAAAAAGATCAATTATTAAAAATAAAAATATAGTAGTAGTAATAGCAATAACTATATATTCTTTCTTTCATTTTCAATATTCAATTTTTATTTAATATTAAGATAACACAAACATGTTAAATAAAAATTTCAAAAAAATTCATTTATCAAAAAAAAAAAAAGATTCATGACTTATTAATTCTGTAACACTACGCAAGGCAAAATAAATTTAAAAGTGATATTCAATTTGATTAAAACAAACAATAAAGAGATATTATAACCTCACTAAAGGATATACAGATTTGCCAATTCCAAATTAATATATTTTATCTTTAAAAGGTTGATTTGCATAAAAACATAAAAGCATCTAAAAAAAGCACATTGAGACTCTCATTTAATGATAAAAATATAGTTGCTTAGGATTCTAGAAAGTTAATAAATTTTAAGTGATAAGATAAAAGACATTTGTTTAATTTTAAATTAATATATTTGATTTTTTTGAGAAAAAAATATGTACGATTTTAAAATTTTAAATCGAGAGAGAATATCTATTTATTTTAAATTATGAGAAAAGAAGAAAAAATAGTTCTTAACATTCCTAATGAACTTTACTATTGTCCATGATAAAAGAAATAGTGATTTGTGAGTTGTCTTTTTATATGATTTATAGTAGAATAAAGCTATAATATAAATTAAAAGAAATGGATAATTCTAATTTTTTAATTTTAATAATATTTAAAATTTTAATAATTGATTGAACAAATATTTATAAACAATTAAAATTAAAAAATATCTTAAATCTCATTAAATAAACGGCACATGTAAGCGTATATGTGAATATTTATTATCCGGCTTTCAAACACTAACAATAGTCCGAAAGAGACCAAAGGACAGATGCTTTGGTCACTACAACAAGCATAAATCCTTCACTTTCCTAGAACAATGGGAAACCGGCGCGCGTGAAAAATGGATTTGTTTCGAAGTGGTCCACTCGTTGGCCCAACCAAAAACGGGCGAGCAAAGTGGAAAGGGTTGCTGTCCTCGCTCGCCGACAAATGCATCAAACTTTTGCAAGTATCATAACAACGGAAAGACCATTTAAAATAAAGATATTTTCAAAACATTCCACTACATATATAATACTTATTCATGGTTACAAATTTAGCTATAAAGCATAGCCGCAGACGTACGCATGATGAACTTTTAACTTCCTAAAACATCTACATGTGCTTTCACACCGGTGTTCTAACTTTGTGTAAAAGAACAACACAATCTATCCCGCAAGATCATTTACCAGAGACAATCAGTCTTTTAAGCTCTGGCGCCTAATCTCTTCTCCATCCAGTCAATTATATCTTGCCCTATCTCTTCTCGCTCCGGCTCAAAGAGAAGGTCGTGCAAGAAGCCCTCGTAGAGCTTTATGTCTTTGAACTTGGAGGCTGCCTTATTGTACAAGTCCTGGGAGGCGAGTGGATCAGTGACTTTGTCTGCCGTTCCATGGAGAACAAAGAATGGGACTATCACAGACTTAAAGTTTTGAATCAAGTAGGATGAAATGCGCAATATCTCATGCCCTGTTCGGACCCTTATTGGACCGGTGTAGACCAAGGGATCAGAGTACTTGGCTAACAGTGCTGCGGGGTCCCTTGAAACTGGTATGCCCCTCTTGTTCGCACCTTTAAACTGGAACTTGGGAGCAACCAGAGAAAAAAAAGGAGCAATAGCCTGACACAATATAAAAAAAAAAAAAAAAATTTAACATGGGAAAATAAAGTACACTTTTCATAACTGTTCCAATCAGTATTAAAATGCCAACTTGAAGGGATGCAAGGAGATTAAGCTCGAAACTGAATTAAACCACAGACAAATCTTATTTTGTACAATATGTTATCGATATTATAACTATACACTTTCATTACCCAATAGCAAAAGGGTTATACAAGACCAAAGAAATTCACTAATCTCAACATAGTTTTTTTTTTTTTTTTTGGCATTCCTCAACCATACTAGTTAGATGGCGCATATGTCAAAGGCCGGGAACTTAAGCCTAACACCCGCACAGTCCATGACACATACAGGACATAATCTTGATCCAAAAACATTAATAAATTTAACCTTGCTTACCATTTCATAAATCAATTTTATGCATTGTAATTTAAGAGAAGTAAAAGTCACATTTCTATTTGTCTATTTACTGTATTCACCAAAGATTACTTACAAATTTTTAAAATCAAGATATTAGTCATAAGTATTAAATCACAATCATGTAAATTTAACAAAAGTCAAATTACTTTATAGCTTTCTCAACAACATTACTCCCAGTGTCTAACCAAATATCAATTGTGTTTGGCTTTCTTTTTAGCCACTGCAACCATGTAAGCTTCTTTTCTTTGTTAGTGTATTGCTTGCATATATATATAAACACACACACACATGTATATATGTCTTTTATATTAATAAACAAAATAGAATAAATCTTATTAAAAAAAAAGATCTAGTTGAGAGACTTGATCCCAAAAATCAAATTTCAAGATTCACCACTGATTCAAACTATAACCAGACCATCTAACTTTCAAAGGAATTAAGACCTCCCCAAATATCTTTTGCCTAGCAGAATGTTTTGGCAGAAATTTGACATTTTGAAAACAGATAACCTGGTTTTTGCATAAATGAAAGTGCAATTACAAATTTTCTTCAGGTTCATTGATGAGTGATTGGTTGGTTTTAAGGCACTTTAAACCTCAGAGGCAACTACAGCATGATTTAGCACATTAGAAAGTAAGAACAAGAAACAGCAACTCACCCCAACAATTGGATGTGCCGGCTTAACACGCAAAGCAGGAGATGTCAGCACAATTCCCTCCAGCATTTCATCAATATAAGGATATGAAGCTGCCTGCAAAATTGCACCTTATTAATTGAAAAGTTAAATTGATAATTCAGTTACTAAAACTAATTGATAGACGCAATACCTTTAAAACCACAGCTCCACCAGTAGAGTGACCAAAAAGGAAGCAAGGTACACCTGGATTCTCTAATTTGATTTTTTCCAAGAAAGCTCCCTGAAGAAAGAGAAGAGACAAAGCTTAGCCCCACCTTGCTAGCATATTTTTAATAAACAAAGGCTGCTAAACTTTGAATTTTTTTAGTTGTTTATCACCAACCAGTAGCATGATAGTCAATAAACTTCGAATTTTTAAAATGATTTATTATAGGAGGAAGAGGGTTATCCATTTAAATGTTAAGAAAAAAGTAACCAGTATGAGTTAATTTAAACTGTGTATTAAAAAGATACAGAGAACACAAGGAGAACTTACAGTGTCCGCAACAACATGATCAAGTGAAGGAACATACCCATGCAATCCATCACTACCACCGTGACCTACAGCAATGAAGTTTATCTCATTACCGCAACTTTAAACTAATAATTTCAAATACACCTCTCACAAAGGAAAAGAAAAAGCGGAAAGACTAGTGCCAAATTCTGTACCTATCCAGTCCATCGCATATACACCAAAGCTGCAAGAGGTTAGTTGCTTTGCAAATTGAGCATATCTTCCACTGCAAATGAACACCCACGAAAACTGAGTATGAAAATGAGATTCTTTTCCACCGGGAAAAAAACTGAGAGGTACAAGGGGTCCAATTAACAAATTAATCTTACCTGTGCTCATTTAGCCCGTGTATAATGATTAAAATGCCCCTAAAATATCAAACAAGTAACACGCAGGTGACAAGAGAGTAAAGCAAAAAAGCAACAGAAAACAGAACAGAACAATGCACAAGCTACAGATTTGTTCATTCGTATGATAATATAGACACAAACTAACAGTTAATCATGATATGCAAATCAACCCAAAAGAATTCAATTGCCGAAGAAAGCAAAGCATTTTTCCCAAAGTTTAAAACATTTTCGAAATCTAGAAATAGAAAATTGAAAACTAAGTTAAATTGTGCAGAGGCTTTAGTTTTCTCGAGTCATAAGCAATTCAAAAGTCAATAGCTTTAGTACAGAGCAAATCAAAACGAAAAATAAATGCTTTATCTGAAATTTTATTAGTTTCATTTAATTTCATTTCTTTCCCTCAATTCTATAAGAAATAAAAACGTTTACTTCAATTCACCGGCAACCGGAAACCAAGACCGGCAAAACAAGGCATTTCTCCGGACCCCATAAAACAGAGACGTGCTCCAGCGGCAACCAATCTCTCCGTCCCCGGTTTCAAACCCCATGTCCAAACGCTCCGCCAAAGCTCTCCTTCTCAAGGTGTCCTCTTCTTCTCGCCGCCATACCGACCTCCGCCTCGCGGTTTTAACTGGCGATTGCGGCGCCGCAGCAACAGAGTCAATCGCCGCAACAGTCGTTTGAGAGTGGCGACGCCGAGGGAAGAGTAGGAGAAGAAGGTACAAGATTATTGATTGAATGAAAATGAGAGGAATTCTTAGGGTTTTTAGGATCGGGATTATCCTATTGCTCGCTCCCGAGGTCAATTGCTCCATCTCGCCCCCCGTTGACATGGCAGAGATGGCCAAAAAATATTAAAAAAATCAAATTAAAATTTCACAAAAAATGGAATGAAAATAAAAATCTACAGATATGAAATGGAGTATTTGGTTGGGGAATTCAGAAAAAATGGGAGAGATTTCAGAGGGCATTTGGTTAGGGAATTTATAGAGCGCGGGGGATTTTCGGAGACGGAAACTAGAAAAATGGGAAACGAAATTAACTACGGAAGGTGACGTGGATTTGTTTGAATCAGTCGCGGATACTATTTCTATTTTGTAAGCAAGATAGACGGTGATGATGGAGAGAGGATGTCGCTCGTGCTTTTAAGTTTGGGTGTAGCAGAGTATGACTCTTTGGTTCAAATCTCGTTTAATCAATTAAAAGTCGTGGACCTGTGTGAATGGCGAAAGTACAATGAAGGCTGAAGGTTATGCACAACTGCACTAATTACTGAAAGACACCGTCCGCGTAGCCAGCCAGCCTGACAGCTCGGCTTCGAATCGCTCGGGTTTTAACGGTTTGTCGTTTGCGCGAATAATTAGAGGAGAAACCGCAAACTGGTTAGCAACCCCGGCTTAAAATTTTATTTTTGTGATTGAACAAAATTTTGTTTTATAATTTAATTCATCACATGGATAACAGTCCTTTACACATTGCCCATGATTTTGATGTTTTACATGCCACGTTCTTAAATAAATGTGTATGTATAATGAAACCTTTTCGGTTTCAATAGAAAATTTTGAAGTAAAATAGAAAATTTGAAGTAAAAATTTATTTTTAGATAAAAAATTCTTAATTAGTTACTAATTTACAATTAAAAAGAAATTGTAATGAAAATAAATTTGTGGAAAGATATTTTAAACAATTCCTTTAAATGAAGAGATTGATGCAAACATTTAATGTATGCTAATTCTTTATAAGTTCATATTTGGCAAAATATCCTTTTACCACATTTTTTATCCTATGATAGAATATCTTTACATTATATTAAAGTAATCCCCTAAAAGTTTTGTCTGCAATTTTAAGCCAAATCATATTTGGCTTTTATTTTGATTTAAGGGGTGATTTTGGAAGTTAATTTTAAATGTGAGGTTAGTTATGGTAGGAACATAAGGATGAAGAGACTAAAAAGGTCATTTACATATATTAAAGCTATCCTAACAATCATTTAAAGTCATTTGTAAAATTGAAACATAATTAAAATATAAGTGTATCGTGGCATTTATATTCTATACTTTATTATCTATACAATATATAGAAGTTATCTTTTTTTTAGGGATGTTTATAATTTAATTTTAAATGAATTAATAGACAGATCAATCAATCATCAAATTAATTTTTATCAATTAACAAAAATAATTTTTAAAAAATTTTGATTTTCAATTAATTCGATTCGAAAATTGAATTAATCAAAATTTTAATTGAAACATAACAAAATCTAAATATGAGATGAAATATAAATAAAATGGATAATTTTATTTCATAAGTTATTAGAGTTTTTAACATTATACTTGGATATTTAAATATTTTATTGGATAATTTTATTTAATTTATTTAAAATATGAGAAATTAAGAGTTTAAAATTTAATTTAATTTAAATGTATTTTTATTCAATTAATTAAAAAATTAATTAATAGATTAAAAAATTAAATTCTATCAATTAATTTTTAAAATTAATAATTTTAATTCAACTAATAAAAATAATTTAATTTAATTTAATTAATTCAATTTTTGATAATTTAATTCAAAAATAACTGAATCGACTAAACGAAAACCACTACCATATTCAATTTCTATTCAATTTTGTGTTAACTTATCAATTTTACTATTTATTTCAAATGTCAAATCAACTTACTTTATTGCCACATCGACTTTATTAAATATTATTAGATTTAATTACAAAAAGGTTATCGCTCAATTCATACACCTCTTTTATACAACTACGAAACATGCATATATCTGTTATAATTTGACCCTGTACCTGTCTTATCTCTTATTTATGAATAAAAAATTTACTTTTGTTTCATTAGTTCAGGAATAATTTCTCAACTTTTTTTCCTTATTCTTTAAGTTTATAATTTATAATTATTTTTGCAAAATCAATAACAATATATAAGTTGTCCTTAAATTTCAATTTGCTTCAATTTACTGTTATATCATCAATTTTTTTATTCATTTAGATGAAATTTATATTGTTCTTATTTTTGTTAGATTTTAAATTTCATTATATTTATAATTATTGGATGTTTAAAGCCTTAGGTCTTTTAACTCTTCACATTGGATTTCTAACTTTGAGTCATGTTATCAACGAAGGAGGAATATATAAATATCATGAAAGAAATTATTAGAGTCAGCCTTAAAATTGGAATGAAGGAAAGATCGGTAAAACAGGCAACTAATTTACTTTGTATTCATAACTTGCATAATAAATTACATCGACATCTTTGCCAGTAATCAAATATCTATTTTTCATGCCACTAATTGATGAATGCTGAAAGAGTAAATCAACTACTGTAAACAACTACAATGCAAGACACAACCTGAGAAACCATCAATTCTCAAAAGGCAAAATAAAGCCAAAAAGTGACTAAGCAACTTTAAAATTATAAAATAATTAACAGTTGTTTAATATTATAAAATAATAATTTTGTCATAAGTAACTTTTAAAAAAGTGTTTGAGTATGATTTTTGGATTAAAGTTTTAAAAATTTTTTGTAAAATTGATCTATTTAAAGAGAATTAATGGGTTGGGAATTTAAAACCAAAGTTTTAAAAAAATAGATTGATCTATTTATGAGTACTGTCCTAAATTTTTTACATTTATTTTTGTATTTAAAAATTTAAACTAAATCCAAAAGTTAATTAAATAATTGCAAGTCTTTTTTTTTTGTTATTTATTTATTTTACATGAATTAAATTTGTCAATTAATTTTTAAATAAAAGGGTAAGAATAAAAACTAAATATAATAATTTATTAAATAAATTAAATGATAAAAAACTATTTAGAAAAACTCTTTATTGTTAAAAGAATTTGATAACATAAAAATTAATATATTTTTATACCATAAATAAAAATATATGTTAAGATATAAAATAAAATAGAAATATTTTTTTAAAATGCATATAAAATAAATTTTCAAATGCCTTTTTTATTATGTAATTTATAAATAAATAATTTATATTTAAAATTTTCATAATTGACAAAATATGATTATACCAATATCAATACATATATTTAAATATATATAAAAAAAATAAAAAATTATTAAATAAATTTTATTTAATATAATATAATTTAAATAATATTTTAAAATTAAATAAATAAAAAAATTATAAATATTTTTAAGAAACCCTCCACGAAGTGAGGCCATCAATTTAGCTATGAATTAAAATTGGAATTAATTAGTGCAAATATAATAGTAATTAGAATATTATTAATGCTACATCAAAATAAAGATGTAAATAAATTTCAGACTTAATCTAATTAGTTTATATAATTATTTAAAAAAATTATATTTATAAATTTTTATTTTTAAATTATGTTCTTTTTTATATAAAAATAAAAATCTAAATAATTGGCTCACTTTAATATTATTGTCTTTAAGGAAATTATTTTTTTAGGAAAATAAGTAAATTTATTTATTTTTTGATGAATTATAGACATTTATTTTTAGATTCCGTAAGTAGAAGTAATTCCATTACTTAATTGCAAAATGTTAGTAATTTTCCACATCAACGCTAATATTTAGTTTATTATTAAATGAAGTGTATTTCAAACCTAATATTGCATACATACAAGTAGATAAATCCTGATTTTCGAGTTCTAATAATCCCCCTATCAGTTCAGCCGAAATGTAACCGCCCTTTAATTAGCCTCCACCAAACTCAGTAAAACGTTGTTGGCCAAATAAAAAAAAAAAAAAACTAATTCAAAGTAAAACGTTTGGACTTTGAACGGCCAAAGATAAGCCAGATAGCCAAGCTATAGCGGCAAGCGGCTGAATGCTGAGGAGCTGAGAATCAGGGAAGCATCGCTGAAATCGTACCCACAACGTTTATTTCTAGCCTCAAATTATTATCTTCATCATCGTCACTGAGATTCGTCCACGTGTCATACCCTGAATGCAAGGTTCAAACAAAAACATTATTGGAAATCTATTCCATTTCTATAGCTAAAAGTCTAATGAAGTAAGCGGACTTTACCACAGACATTAAAAATTGGCATGTTCTTTTCTTTCCTGTCACCGTAAGGCACGTAAACATCACCGGGATTTCACAGAGGAGATAGCCTTGGGATCTCATACGGCCTCCCTCATTATCTTACCCAAATTTCTTACCCTGTAGGAAGGAATTTTTTATAATTGTATAATTGACAAAAACAATATTGTGACATTAATTGTAGTATTTTACGTGAGGGACACTTTGTGTCCAAAAAAAGTATGATAGATTTTTTTTAAAGTATAATTTGGTTGAAAAGTGAAAATATTTTGATAATTTTGTTTAAGTTGATATAGCAAATTGACGTGAAATTTCAAGTTTCATATTAATTTGATTGCCTCAATTTTTCACCTTTTGGTATATGAGAGTGTTAACTTATCATCCATTGAGTAGATCGTTAATTGTCAATTCTGTTAGAATTTACTTTAAATTTCAAAATTTTACGTCGAAAATTATAAGAGTTTTGAGTTTATTTTGTATCTCACATCGAAAGTTTAATAAAAGTATAAGGGGTTTTATCATTATAAATAAGATGTTTTAGTTTTAGGTTGGTAATCCCAGATAGTTAGACATCAAAAAAATAATTAGGTAAATAGACTATTAAAAAGATATAATTGAATTTTGGATTAAATTTTGAGTAAAGAGTTTTTGGTAACTTTTCTCATTCTAAAAGTATTTAAGTTGTAAAGATTTATTTGATAGTGGATTAGATTTGGAGTAGGCCATTTTGAGTTAAGCCGAAATAAATATATTTGTGTGTTTTTATTTTTAATTTGAGCTTGCTATTTTATTTGTGCTACGTATGCGTGTTGATTTTTCAACAAGTGATATCAGAGCTATAGTGATATTTAACAAGTGGTATCAGAGCAAGGTTTTGTGAAAAAAAAGTAGGCCCAAGAGATCATTTCAAGATGTCTGAAGAAGGTATGTCTAGTATGCCTAAGTTTGAGATTTCGTTATATGATGGAAAGAGTAATTTCATG